TTTGGTTTCCTAATTCTTGCACATTTCATTGTAATACTTTACTTTTTTCTTCTTGAGCTGCTCTTTGAAATCTTCTGTTCAGCTCTTTCATCTTGTCATTTCTTCCATTTGCTTTATCTACTCTCTGTCCAAAAGGATGTTTCAGAGTGTCTTCTGAGATCCATTTTGGTCTTTTCTTCCTTTCCTGTCTTTTAATGACTGTTTGGTTTATTCATGTATGATGTTCTTGATGTCATTCCACAACTTATTGGGTTTTCAGTCATTGGTGTTCAATGCATCAAATCTACTCTTCAGATGGTCTCTAAATTCAGGTGGGATATAATCAAGGTCACTGTTCTAGTTTTCTAGTGGTGCTCTAACAGGAATACTACAGGTGGATAACTTTAAAAAACAGAGATTTATTCTCTTACAACAGTTTAGGAGCCTAGAAATCCAAATTCACGGTGCTAGCTCTAGGGGCTGGGGGAAGGCTCCCTGACACTGGGCTTCAGCTCTGCCTGCTGTTCCAGGCCCACTACAACTTTTTCTGACTCAGGCAGCTGCTTGCTGCTGAGACTGACGAACCCAAGATCAACAAGTAAAATGGCACAGTCCCAAGATTAGCAAGCTACACGGGAGGCCACTAGTTCAAGTCCAGAAACAGTCCCAAGATTGGCAGGCCACATGGCAGCCCACTGATGACTCAGCCAAATGCAGGATCCAAATGTGCCAAGAAGCTTGGGACCATTACCACAGCTTCTCTGTATATCCTGGAAGCAGGCCACACCCCAAAGGCAGCTCCCTAGCTGCTCACAGCACATTCCACCATGGAGCTGACTACCAATCCCATCATGGATAATAACTACACCCAACTGCCCAGCCACTCAAATCTATGGCCCAGCCAAGTTGATACACAACTTTAACCACCACAGTCATATTTTAGCTCTCATGGACTTATTTTAATTTTCTTCAGCTTCAGCTTAAACTTAAACTTGCATATGAGCAATGGATAATCTGTTCCACAATCAGCTCCTGGACTGGATATGACTGAAGATATAGAGCTTCTCCATCATTCCTTTCCATAGATGTAGTTGATCTTATTCCTGTGTATCCCATCTGGCCAGGTCCACGTGTATAGCACTGTCTATGTCGTTGAGAAAAGAAATGAATAAGTCGCTGGTCTTGCAAAATTCTATCATGCAATCTCTGGCATCATTTCTATCACCAAGGCCCTATTTTACAACTACTGATGATTCTTGTTTCCAAATTTTGTATTCCAATCACCAGTAATAATCAATACATCCTGATTGCATGTCTGGTCAATTTCAGACTGCAGAAGTTGGTAAAAATCTTCAATTTCTTCATCTTTGGCTTTAGTGGTTGGTTTGCAAATGTGAACAGTAGTATTAACTGGTCTTGCTTGTAGGCATATGGCTATTATCCTGTCACTGACAGCATGGTACTTCAGGATAGATCTTGAAACAGTCTTTTCAACAATGAATGTGATGCCATTCTTTATCATTCCCAGCATAGTAGACCATATGCTTCAAAATGGCCAACACCAGTCCATTTCAGCTTGCTAATGCCTAGGATATCGAACTTTATGCATTCCATTTCACTTTTTACAACCTGCAATTTTCCTAGATTTATACTTCGTACATTCCACGTTCCAATTATTAATGTATTTTTGCAGTTGTTTCTTCCCATTTGAGTCGTACCTCTTCAGCAAACGAAGGTCCTGATAACTGTACTCCATCCGCGTCATTAAGGTCGACTCTACTTTGAGGAGGCAGCTGTTCCCCAGTCCTATTTTGTGTGCTTTCTGACCTGAAGGGCTCATCTTCCAGCACTATTTTTTTTTTTTTTATTGTGATTTGGGTGAAGATTTACAAAGCAAATTCACTTTCCATACAGCAGTTCACATATACTTTGTATCATGTCACTGACCACAGTTTAACACAATGCAACAGCTCCCCTCCCACTTCCTCCCCATAGTTACCTCTTCCCAGTGTCCATCCCTCCATACTCTCCTGCCCCCTGAGCTGTCTCCCTGTGCATAAGCAGCCCTTCCTTCTCCCATGATTGTTCTCTCCAGGGCGTGTGTCTACTTGAGGTAAATGTTTAACTCACATGCCTGTACTTTGTTTGGCTGGAAACCACAGGGGTGAGTTCAATTCCAGACCTGAAGGGCAGCTAGGGGCCATAGTCTCAGTGGTTCCATCAGCCAGCACTATTACTGGACAACGTTCCAGGGCTATTCATAAAGTTTTCCAGTAATGTATCAGATAGTGTTTCACTGCAACTCAAAAGTTTTCACTGGCCAATTTTTTTCAGAAATGGATGGCCCCATCCTTCTTCCCAGTCTCTCTTCGTGTGGAAGCTCCACTGAAACCTGCTCACCATGGGTGACTATGCTGGTATCTGACATACTGGTGCATAGATTCCAGCCTCACAGCAACATGCAAGCCACCACAGTATGACAAATTGACAGACGAGCGGTGAATTCTGCTCACAGAATTCTTCTATACCACAATTCCTAGAAGCAGGGATTTCCAATAGCTAACTTTCCCCTTTAAACTTTGTAACTGGGAAAGGAGACACAAGGTGAGGCTGACAGTGAAGGACAGGGATAAAAGGGTGCCCTATAGCCTCCTCCCCACTGTCATCCCAGCTCACACTGAAACATGGTGGTTAATCTTGTAAATGTTGAAACTCATTCCAAAATGCATGACACTTACGTCCCGAAATGATAAGATTCAAGTTTCTAAAAATAGATTCCAGAGAGTCATCCTTAAAAAATACAGGTCAGGTCACTTCTTGCCTGTGCTCAAACTGCCCCTTACCCAACTATGAATCATTAGGAAAGCCTCTGGTTTTCATCACCCAGCCTCTCCCGGCCCTTTCCCTCTCTTTCCCTCTCCTCCTAGGGCTGTTTGCCCAACAAGCCATGCAAGATTCCACCTAAGAGCCTTGCCCTTGAATCTCCTCCTGGGGATGGTGCCGCTCGGTGTCTTCTGACTGAACCCTTCACTTCCTTCAGGTCTTTGCTCAGCAGGGCCTCCTGACCAAGCCCTGCAGCACGAGCACCGCCAAGCCCAGCTCGCCATCCCTGTGCCTTATTTGTTCTTCTCTACAGCACCGATTACCTTTTACAGTCGTATTATCTACTTTGTTTGCTCTCCTCATTTTCCTCTAACTAAAATGAAAGGTCCATGAAGGCAGGGATATTTAGATTCCCTGTTTACTGCTTTCTCACCAGTAGTTAGGATACTGTCTGGCACACAGTAGGCACTCAAAAATTTTTGTTGAATGACTAAATGAAGTGCTCAATGAAAGAAAATACATAATATGAAGTTAGAAATGTCTCTCAATGTTTTACACTTGGATGACAGACACAATGAAAACTCAATAAAAAAAGGCACAAATTCAGTTTTAAGTATTTTAAGAGATACTTTAAATGTCAGTATTGCTGTATAGGTATTGGAACCCATATACATTGCTGGTAGGAATGTAAAATGGTACAGTTTGGCAGTTCCTCAAAAAGTGGAATACAGAGTCACCATATGACCTAGTAATTCCATTCCCAGGCTATGTGCTGGAGAGAAATGAAAACAACTTGTATATAAGTTTTGTTGTTATTGCCTGTTGTTGTTATTTGCCAGAGTCGGACTCGACTCATAGCGACCCCTCCTTGGGTTTCTGAGGCGGTGTCACTATGGAAGTAAATTGCCCAACCTTCCTTCCAAGGAGTAGCTGGTGGGTTTGAACCGCCAACCTTCTGGTTAGCAGTCAAGTGCCTTAGGCACTATGCTACCAGAGCTCCTAAGTGTTCATAGCAGCATTGTAATAGCAAAGTGGAAACATCCTTGCCAAAGGGGCAAGGAGGCCATATCTTCTGACCTCCTCGAACCGCACAAGAGGAAGACAGAATGTAGCCCAAGGCCTACTCCTGTGAGGCCAGACATGCTGCCTCCCTCCAGCCCTTTCACCAACCCTGACACCAACTGTTCCTCCCACAGCACTCACCACCTTTCTGCTGGGTTCGACAATTCACTGCAGTGGCCACACAGAACTCACAGATTATGGGATTTATTAGGGAAGCACCAGGCTACAATTCAAGTTCAAGAAAACACTCAGTCTCTCTCAGTCTGACATCTCTTAGCCACTCTCCCAGCAGTGCCTGTCTCTCGGTGTCTCTCTCAGCAGTACATGTCTCTTGCATCTCTTTCCCAGCAGTGTGTGTCTCTCAGGAGCGCATGTCTCTCAGCAGCCCATGCTTCCTCAGCCAGCAGTCAGACAGATCTCTTCTGCCTCCAGGAGGGCTCCTTTTGAGCCCGGCAGAATGGCCAAATTAACCAATCGTAACACCAGAATGCTAAGCACCTGAGAGACAGCGAACTTCCCAGAACATTGCTTGGTGACATTCCCAACAGAAATACCCCAGGTGGATAACATTTATAATCAGGAGCTCCTCAGTTGCTCACAGCAAATTCCACCATGGAGTTTACAAAGACTTATGGCTAGAAAAGCCACACCAGACAATTTATTACACCACAAGCCTGAATACCCATCAACTGATAAATGGATAAATAAATGTGGTATTTCCATACAATGGGGTATTATTTGCCTATGAAAAAAAGAGTGAAGTTTTGATGCATGCTACAACACAGATGAACCTTGAGAACATTATGCTAGGTCAAAGAAGCCGGTGGTAAGAGACCACCTGTGGTTCCATTTATACACAATGTCTTGAACGGGCAAATCTACAGAGACAGAGTGAATTAGTAGTTGCTGACGGCTGAAGGGGTGGGGAGACTGGCAAGAAATGAGGAATGACTGTTATGAGGTACTGAATCTTTTGAAGGGATAATGAAAGTGTTCTGAAATTGACTGAGGTAATGGTTACACAATGACGTGAGTATACTATCAAAAAATGTATGCTTTAAACGAGTGAACTGTATGGTGTATGGATTGTATCTCAATAAAGCTGTTTACCAGAAAACACAGCACAGAAAGCTCACCTTTCACAGACTTTATAATCTTCATTGACACTCACTGCTTTGTACTTCATGCTGCCTTTGGTCCGCTCCAACTCCCAACACCAGTCCTCTAGTGTGTCAAACATTACAGTATGATTCTTGGGATCTGTGGCTAGCAAAACAAAATTAAAAGGACAAAAATATGCTTTCTTGAAGTAAATAAACAAACCTATTGCCCTTAGTCGATTCCAACTCATAGTGACCCTATGTTGTTGTTGTTGTTATTTGCCATCGAGTTGGCCCCGACTCCTAGCGACCCCTCCTTGGGTTTCCGAGGCAGTTATCACTATGGAAGTAGGATTGCCCAACCTTCCTTCCGAGCAAGGCAGAATAAAACTGCCCCATTGGGTTTTCAAGGCCGTAAATCCTTATGGAAGCAAACTGTCACATCTTTCTCCTGTGGTGCAGCTGGCGGGTTTAAACTACCGACCTTTCAGTTGGCAGCCAAGTGCTTAATCACTGCGCTACCAGGGCTCCTTTGAATTCATAATAATTTCCTTGAATTACTAGTATTTTAATTATGTGAAGGTGGATCCTTAGGCTCCAGTTACCTCCACTAAGACCACTTTTATTCAAATAGAATAAATTCACTGCTTAATCCTGTGTTCCATTTTTTAAAAATCCAAAATTATGACTAAGCCTCTGTCTTTTTATATTGTAGGAAAGGAGTTGTTCTTGTTCCATTCCTTGCAAAAGCAATTTATAGCTTATTTTTCAGTCATCTGACCATGAGATAATCTATATAACACAGAAAAGATCCTGTGAAGTACTGAAAGACAGCTTGGCACAAATGCTAAAATAATAAAATATTTTTAGCCCTACCAATATGTGCATAAGCCAGCAAACTTATCTGAACAGCACGTCAGCTTTTCAAATGTAAATGCTCTTTCAATGTGAAGATGCACTGCCAACAAAGGGTTTTCCAAGTGTGACGCTAGACTGCTGAAGGTCATAAATAAATTAGACGGCTGCCATAAAGGTCAGCTCACCATGGGCTGCAGTATGGTGGCCAGTGCCCTTGTGTCTGACACAGCCTGGCCACCAGCTGCTCGGAGGAAATGCTCCTGCAGCCCAGCAGACCTGTCCTTGGTCCTCTCCCAAGCCATAGTGAAGTCTGCCGGGGGTGACACAAACCAAAATGGTCTCAGATATTTACACAAACTCTATTACAAATCAGCCGGTTCAAGCCTTCGCACATCTAAAATACCAACCTTCTGGGGAAAAAAAAGTGTTTGACCCTTAGCCACCCTTTGGGCCTGGAACTGAACTCACCCCTATGGCTCAGTTTTCAGCCAAACAAGAGACAGATCTGTAAGATGAACTTTAACACTAGGGAGGTACACACTCCTTAGAACAACCAACCACTGGAGACCAAAAGGGCAGCATTTGCCCAAGGACAAAGTTCAGAAGGCAGGGAAGGTTAGGAAAGGAGGAGTAAGGGAAACAGGAAACACAGGGAGGAAGTGGGATGAGTGACGTTATGTAGTGGGGATTGCAAAAATGACATGAAACAAAATGGGTATGAATTGTTGAAAGGAAAACTGATTTCCTCCATAAACATTTAGCCAAATCACAATAAAATTATTTTGAAAAAAGCCAAAGTATTTGATAAAATGCCCACCTGCTTCATTTAATAAAACCAGATCATAATAGAAGCAATAATGATGATTATACTAATTACTGCTTATTATACTAATTACCAACACTTAGATGTGTTGGTCACTATTCTAATCATATCACATTTTATTAACTCAATCCTCACAATCTTGTAGGGTAAATAATATTATTTTCTCCATTTTACAGATGTGGCACAGTAAAGTTACATAACTTGTCCAAGATCACAGGACTAATCAATGGCAGAATTGGAATTCAAACCCAGTCAGCTATAAATCAAATTTCCATGAAGTATAAAAAACAAACAAAAAAACAAGCCCAAAAACCTTCCCCATGGACATAAATGATAACCACTTCTTTAGGAACACAAGCAGGCCATGGCATAAATACATTTGCAAATTGTTAAGTCAGAGAATAAAGATGTTCTGGTTGCAAAGAACCCACATCTATAAACCCCTACTCAAGGGAAAAACTAAGTGGTCAATTAGCATCTGTCAGTTACAGCCTTTCCTTCTGAACAAACAAATGGGGGTTGGAAGGAGGAAAGGGGAGGAAAAATGGATTTAAAATAGAGTAAGAGATATTGGGCTTTCTATAATAAAAAGCCAGCAAAAAGTAAGAAAACTTCCATGCTCAATCAAGGTAAGGGTTTAGGCATATTGATAACATATTCTGGCCAGCTGAGAAACAGTTTCTCACTGAGTCCAAACCAGGATTTGGGATATTAAGGAAGAAGCAAAATTCCTAAAAATATAGCAAAATTACTCAAATGAAAACCCTTTAATAAACATTTACATCATCTACAGTGATAAACAAAAGAAGTCTTATTTGTATACTTCATATTGCAGCACTTGTACACACAGCTAGAGTACAAGGTCTCAGTCATTCACAAAGATGAACTCACCAAATTAAGAAACGTATTTTACGTTCAGCCTAATATTAGTGCTAAGTGTATTTTACATCATTGTAATTCTCTGAACATTCTTTATTCTCAATAACATGCAGTTATTTATACTCTCCATTAAGGAGCATTGGTGATGCAATGTTTAAACTCTTGGCTGCTAACCGAAAAGTTGGTGGCTTTAACCCCCCTCCCCCTGCACGAGTATTTCAGGAGAAAAGACCTGGCTATCTGCTTCCATAAAGATTACAGTCTAACAAACCCTCTAGGGCAGTTCTACTCTGTCACACGGGGTCACCCTGACTTTTAACTGACTCCATATTACATACAACATCAACAACATACTCTCTATTAACCAGACCACCTCATTCTGTTTCAAAAGCTAACTCAGATGGATCAGATTGTTACAACTGGATTCAATCTTTAGAATACACCAGCCCAAGGACTTTGTTGTTGTTGTTGTTGTTATGTGCCATCGAGTCAGCCTCGACGCATAGTGACCCCTCCTTGGGTTTCCAAGGCAGTATCACTACAGAAGTAGGACTGCCCAACCTTCCTTCCGAGGAGTGGCTGGTGGGTTTGAACCGCCAGCCTCCTGGTTAGCAGTCAAGTGCCTTAGGCACTATGCTACCAGAGCTCCTCGGAGCACTTGAGGAGCTAGGAAAGTGAGGCCGAGAAAGCTGACTTGTAGCTGCAGTGGTGCCTCCCTGCTGGCCACTGCTTTGTCTTCCCTGTCTTCTACAACCAAACTTCTCAAAAGCACTGGCTTCTACTCCTCTAGTTTCCATTTACTTCCCAGTTCATGTCAATCTGATTTGCCTGCCACCAGTCTCCAAGTCTGCTGAAAACGGGTCTTGCTAATGTCACAAATCACCTCCTAACTGCCACGTCCAACAGGTTTCTATTAAATTCCTGTCGCCTTTGATTTGTAGACTGTGACTCAGAAGAACCCCCTCTCCCTGAACTTAGTTTCTTCCTTCCTGGCTTTCCTCCTCTGTCTCTGAACCCACCACGGGGTTCTCTTTCTCTACCCATCCCTGCAACGTGTGTGTTCCCTTCTCAGTCTATATAGTCTTCCTTGGCAACTGCATTAACTGCTAAACTGTGTATTATAGAGGTTAATTACCAGGCTTGACTCAAGATATACACAAATTATTTGATTTTTCTCTTGGTTTAATTATCTCCTTAAAATTTTTGAAGATCTCATTTCACCATACTAAAGGGAAAGAAATGACTAATGACTGAAATTACAGCCTTAAGCTGACTCTTTTTAGATGATAACTTCTAGGACAAAAACAACTGCACTTCTATCTATACACGGGGTTCTTCCAAATTTTTCTTTCTTAGCACCAGCTATCTACTGGGTGTCTGAATATTTCACAAATACTGCAAACTCAGTATGTTTAGAATGGAGCTCCACAGCTGCCCCTGCTCCCAAAGCCTGTTTCTAACATCCCTGAGTAAATGATACTGTCATCAACTCAACGAACCAAACAAAAGCTTAGAAAACCAAAACGAAAAACCATAGCCATCGAGTTGATTCCAGTCCGTAGCGACTTCCACTGGGTTGACACAGTGGTAAATCTTTACAGAAGTAGATTGCCTCATCTCCCTTCCGTGGAGTGGCTAGTGGGTTTGAACCACCAACCTTCTGGTTAGCGGTCAAATGCCTTAAGCTTTGCACCACCAAAAATCCTTAAAGTTTAGATGTCACCCTTAAATTCTTCTTCATCTCTTTATAATGTTTTCAAAGCCACAAATTAACAAAGTACTACCTACCCATTTTCCCAACTACCAAAGTCCATAAATTCTACCTCATAAACCTTGAGTGTCTTTTCTCTCTACCCCGTTAGCTGAGGTCCTGTGCCACCTCTCTTCTATTACTGAAGCTGCCTCTTACTGAGCTTACTGAGCTCTTATAAAGTGCTTTGTCTCTTAACCTTTCACTAGTACCATATCCTTCATGTGGCAAAAAGGTCTTTATCTAAGCCTACCTACTGCTCCAGCCTTACCACTACGATTTCCTTCCATACGTACCATGTCACCTAGCCATACTAAACTATTAATACTAATTATCATTTAATAAGTATACACTATGTGTCATGCATTTAATAATTTATAACTCTCACAACACTTCCATGTAAACATTAATGCTATGGTCTGAAAAATGAGGAAAAGGAGGTCCAAACATTAAGTGTCAACCCCAGGATCACACAGCCAGTAAGCAGGCTGGGCAAGGATTTACACCTGGGTAGTGCAAATGGTTAATGCACTCAGCTGTTTACCAAAAGGATGAAAGTCTGGGTCCACCAGAGGTGCCCTGGGAGGAAGCCTGGCAATCTACTAAAATCTGAAAAATCAAACTGACTCAACAGCAACCGTTTTTTTATTTCCTTCCAAAACAGATGCCAAGACTCATATTTTTTTCTACTAAATCACCACAGTTCCCAAAAAGTAATATGCTCTGAGGTATCTGTATCTTTGTACATACCTATCTCTCTGCCTAAAACACTCCGCTATGCAACCCAGATACGCCCATATCCGGCCACCATCAGTTTAGGCACAGTCTTCTCTCTCTGATAGTCCTCCCTCCACCACCACGGTCGGCTACTCCCTCCTTTGCGTTCCCATGGCCCTTTCCATCAAAAGACATATCACACAGCTGCCTTTCCTGTTTGACTTTATACTCCTGAAGGCAGAGAGTAAGTCCTATAAACCTCCATGTCTCCACTGTGCCTATATAAGCAGTTAGTGACAAAGCAATTCTACAATTCAGAATGTCTCCTCTATGTTTTTGAAACTAACATGACATTTCCCTGACAAAAAGCACATAGTACACAGGATCACTAAACATCAAATTGGGAGTAATGGGCAGAGCAAGTGAACAGACTCAAGAGGATAATCAAGCCAGGGAGAAAACTAGGAAGGAAGACAACAGGCATCTGCGAAAACACAATACAATACAGGTATTTACTAATAGCTAAGTCAGACGAGAGGTCTCCAACAGCAGGACAAACTTGTCTGTCGGTTTGTCCTACTGTGGTGACATGTAGA